TGAAAACTTAAAACTATAAAGAAAAAGTTGTTATTTTTAGATATTCAAATTAATTGTTTGATCTTAAATTAAAATTTGCAAATTAAAACTGTTAACATTTATCTGGTTTTGACATCTATCGGCACTCTGAGTGTTAGCGTTAATACGTCACGTGACCATGTCGATGACGACTTACATGGATTTACTCCAAATCCAAATCTGCCTATAGAAGTTTTCACTTCTAAAATAATTCATTTAGCTTTAGTGTAACTTCGTAATACTACTCATGTAAGAACGTTACATATGTACATACATACATATATGTATGTACGTCGGTGAATCACTTCCAATATGAAATAACCCCAATTAAGCATCATAAAGGACCATTCATGGAGCACGATAGTGGTCTGTCGCTTAGAATACTTCGTTAGAAGCCTTCTGAATTCGTTTTCTAACCTACATTTACTTTAAATAGAGCTTCTCTTTCCCCACCGATGACTTTCAAAGTAAAATACTCTAACTATGCAGTCTTAGCATTTTGTAGGAATTCGTTTAAAATTTTCAGGTCCCGATCAGATTGTACTTGCAGTGTCTAAAGTTTGGGCTTTTTGAATTATACATGTTTCGTCCCGTTATTTTGCATGCTCAATAATTCATTTATGCTAATGTTCCTTATGGCGTTCGTTATGGAAGAGAAAATCTTATAGAATAAATGTTTTTAGAGATGAAAATCATCTTTGAAAAATATTATAATGTCATTATCTATACATATAATAAATTTGTAGAGGTCGAATGTCTGTACATAGATAAAAATGCTAAAAACCAAGTCAGGGGGATGTAAGAAGACAACTAGAATAAATCCAGATTGTTTTCACATTTTTTGTTTGTCTCTCTGTTTGTCTGTTTATCTGTTTGTACGGGATAATCTCCGAACTTATTGAACCGATTTAGATGGAATTTTGCATGGTGGTACCTTATACCCCCAGGCAACATCTTAGATACTTTTCACCTCGGAAAATTAAAGAGTTCCCGTGGGATAGTTAAAAACTATAATAACTTATACAGCTTAGTACACAAAAAGTACTGGTTGGATTTTGATGAAACTTTACAATAATATCCATACTAATATTATAAATGTAAAAGTGTGTTTGTTTGTTTGTCTTTCTTTCACGTCGAAACGGCTTGGCGGATTCGCATATTTTTTGTGTGGAAATAAATAGTTGGCGGGCTGGAGAGTTACATAGGCTACTTTTTACCGTGGGAAATTATCTCTTTCCCACGGGAAAAGACGTTATAATACAACCCAAAAAATATTTATGATCGGAATTACTTGAAATTTGGTATTATTGCTCTTTAATAAAATTAAATAAATACGTGTTTTAGCATTTTTCGAAATTCATCCATAAAAGGGTAATAGGGGATGAAAGTTTGTATGAAACTATCTTTTTAGAGATTTTTTGTAGTTTTAGCGCGAGTGAAGCTGCGGGTTCTGCTAGTGTAATATAAGACTAAGTCCCCTCGTCGCATCTGTTTGTTTGTCTGTCTGAACTCGATAAACCTTTAACATACGGATTCATGAGGAAGCTTTAGGTGTATATATAATTCATTATATAATCGGTTTTGTGTTTTTAGATATCGAAAAAAATCATGCCGACATGGAGTTTTACTGGCGTGCGCCGCTAACTAATAAAGTTATTAAAACAATGTATTAAAGAATTATTCATACCTACGCTAGTATAAAGTAATACTCTGAAATGGAGCCATAATTTTAGGAATTAATTAGGATATGAGAAATTATTTTATTACAATTGACCTTATATTTTAATCGACGACGAATAAATGTTTGTTTTAGTTGTTTTTTATGCGAAGGGACTTCAAATTGGTTTAGTTACTCAATTTAGCTGCATGTTTTATGAGCTATAAAAATAATAAATTCAAGCTATTCAACAACAATAATAATAATTTCTTGGGTATTTACCTTTCTGTGCTATTACGTATTAATATTATCTGGAAACGTAGAATGTTCAAAATTTTGGTTTCGGTACAATATTTTAACGATAATTCTTTAAGAAATTATGATGAAGAGCGTAGAAAGCTATAAATGTAAGACTAAGGCGCAATATTTCATTGCTCAGTAATGGCGAGTAAATGTTTCCGCCATCGCACAGCTGAGATGCTTTATATTAAGCTCATTTTATGTTTTACTTATACGTACATAAATATTTGAATTATATTTTATTTTAAACCATAAAATTTTATAAAGTAGTCGATTATTATAATTTATTTTTATATATAAAACTACAATTCCTTTTTGATTCAATATGCAAGTCTAATTTAAGCCCATGGGGCTGTAGTTTTGATAGTGTATATCTGTAATGCCAAAAAATGCAAAAAATATATAACATTTATAAAATTCTAATAAGACGTGTTTAGCATAAAAACAGCAAGTATTTTTAAAGATAATTCATATCACGTAAAATTTCCCATAAATCAAAAACATGCTTCTCGAAGCGAAGAAAGCAGTAAATGTAACTAAAGAACAATATTTCATGATGCCGTAATAGTTCCCTTGGGAGCTAACGATTCTACTAACATCAATATATTCTTTAGATTGTGTTAAAGATTTAGTGGATATGAAGGGGAAGAAAGTTAGTTTTTTTTTCATATCTTTCTGTTCACCACACATAATAAATAGACATTTTATTGACATATTCTTCTCTCGTCGCGAATGGGTGGATAGAATCTATTACTCTATTAAAATTATATAAATTATTTTTATAAATAAACTAGCACTGACCGCGGCTCCGCCCGCGTTCAGATGACCGAAAACCAAATTCTTAGGTTTTACATATTAGTATGCTCTTACATTGCAGTTTTTGTATTTTTTATCGGAAATGAGACAAGTTTCCCGCGGTAAAAGTGTCCTATATGTTGACCTGGATAACCAGCTATCACCATACTAAAATTTCATCAAAATCCCTCCAGTTGTTTTCCTGTGACGTGGTAAAAGACAGACAGAGAGACAAAAATTCTAAAAACTAAAGATTCGGCCTCTGTATCGCTAATAATGTTTATTTCAATAACATTTTCCAGAAAATATTTAATGTACAGATTCGGTTCAGTTACAATTTTATAATATGAATAGGTTTATTTACGAAAATTGTTTGTTAAAGTTTTATCTATACAGATAAATAAAATTAAAGCGTTTGCTTGTAATGTCAAAATAATAGCTTTTTAGTTTTTACTATTTTCATACATATTAATTTATATACAGTATTTATAAGGAAAACATAATTAAAAAAAATGTCTGTCTGTCTGTTTCGGCTATTCTCCGAAACGGCTAGACTGATTTTGACGGGACTTACACTGGCAGATGGTTGATCTTATAAGGCTTTAGGCGACTTTTATTTTAGATAAGGAACTAGGGTTCCGCTCAAAAAAATAAAACAAAAGGTGCTCACGGACTGTACTGGCCTAAAACAAACTTTAGTAATATATGGTCTATATTATGTTTTATTGTTAAGTTAAAAGTCATATAATAAAGCTAGAATATTTCATTTTAGGATTTGTAATAAACATATTGTTTCTAATTTGAAGAATTTAAAATTTAGTACTTAATCATTTATTTAGGTACGCAGAAAAAATATTAATATGTCTAAAGTATGTATCTATATATTACGTATAAGTACTCTAGGTGCCATGGCGAGTTCACTATCTACGATCAATATCGCTATTATAAAACTAAAAATAATGTAAAGGAATTAATGAAATTCTGACCACGTGATATAAATGCTGTCATTTACCTTACATTTTTAGTTCTCTTTTGCGGTAGCGATAGTAGACTTTTCTCTAGTTTAAGCCTGAAGCCAAAGCTAGATTACTATTTCAGTAGATAATATCATTTAATAAGTCTACTGTACCTGTCGGTATTTAATTTAACTCATAAAAAGAGCCTTTGGAATCTTCCATTGTTCCTTCACTTTGACGGTATATTATAGATATTATTATATTTTCTTCTAGCGTATTCATAAATGGTAATTATTTTGTATTAACTTTTGAAAAATATAACGTTTAGCAAAAATGTGTATTCAAATTGTTTTATATGTTATTAATACCACCATACTAGCTGTTATCCGCGGTTACGTGTGACTAAAAGTGACTATTAATTATCTATACATATAATAAAATTGTAACTAAGTCGAATCTGTATATTAAAATGTTTTTGGAAAATCTTATTGAAATAGACATTATTATCGATACAGAGTCCGATCTATAGTTTTTAGAATTTTTTTCCGTCTGTCTGTCTGACTGTTACCGCATCACGATAAAACCACTGGACAGATTTTGATGAAATTTTGTATGATAAAAGCTGAATATCCGGGTCAACATATAGGATACTTTTTACCGCGAGAAATAACTAATTTCTGAGAAAAAATACAAAAACAGCATTATAATAGTATACTAATATGTAAAACCTAAGAATTTGGTTTTTGGTCATCTGAACGCGGGCGGAGCCGCTGGCAATGCTAGTCTAAATTTAAGTATAAAATTTTCTTAGATTTACGCGAACATTTGACATTTCCTAGTGTAAATATTTTAAGAGTACCTAATATATTAAATAGTTTTGTTTTTGTATAAGCACTTATACCTATGTAAGGTCTTTAGAAAAATTGTGCAGACAATTTACTTAACAATCTAATCAAAAAAACTCATATGAGTAAGGCAGCTGTCAAGGCTAAGTAGAGTATTTTATAGTACAATGAATTATATAATGAGAAGTAATAGTAAAAAAAAAAACAAAAAAAATTAAGTATATCGATTTTTATTACATATTTACAAACAGTTGGAGAAAATTCGCTGTAAAAATATCACATATATATTTAGTTCTTTCTAGGAGACGACACAGATGTTGATCAATAACTGTCATGGTAAGCTCCTTAATCTTAATCAATGGCCTATTATCGAGTATTAGAAAAATGAACACAATCTGATTAGGGAGGCAAAGTAGTTTAGTGGAATCAGTAGTATCCTAGACCGCCGTATCCGCCGTGTCCGTATCCGCCGTGTCCGTATCCACCATATCCGCCATAGCCACCATGGCCGGAGTAACCACTGTATCCGCTGATTACGGGAGAGCTGTAGTATCCTCCATGTCCACCATATCCTCCATAGCCACCTATACATAAATATAAATAAACATGTAGGCACATTAACACAGCACCACCTAGTTCCATGGTAAGCTACCTCAGCGGGACTCGAAGCCGCGACCGCTGGCATAGCAAGTAGGGTCACTACAAACTGAGCCAAACGTGTCGCCAAATAATAAGATTATTGAATATCATACTAAAAAAAATTATTAATACCAAAAAAATGTTTATTGATTCTTTAGTTAGTATGTTGCAAAAATATACCTAGTCAGTGTTATATCAGGGTTGACTAGATTTTTTATTAAAGTGATGATAAAGTATAGAGTTGAGAATTCCACATAAATATTTAAAACCAAAAGGGCACCAAAATAATTTAGTAATGTATAATTCTAGAAATTACGAAGAGAGGATGATATTTTGTAAGACATACTATAATAATTAACGGTTGTCCGTTTCATCATGATAATATTTACCAAGGCCGGAGTAGCCGCCGAGGCCGCTGTATCCGTATCCGCCAAGTCCGCCGAGTCCACCATATCCGCCGTAACCTCCATGGCTAGTGGTGTATGCAACCTTGCTAATTGCTGGGGCTAGAGAAACAAAATAAAAACCTTCATATTAATGTCAAAGTAATAGAGTAAGTACTAAATTTAATTGAGGGATTTAGACTAGTACTAGAACTATGGTGTGATTTGCCATACCAATAAATATTTATTGCTTTGTAACTATCGATAGTGTTATCCCAGTGGTAACCCGATGGCTTGAGAAACCAAGTGCAATGGATTCTAATCTCGGATTACACACCCTCTATATTTTCTTGTGCAAATCATTTTTGACATGATTACCACTCGCCTTAGGGTGAAGGAAAATATTGTGAGGAATCTGCATGTCTTAGAGAACCTTGCCAATTTTTTAAAAGGCATGTGAAGAAAACTTTTACATGATCCCTATTTGCCACCGAAACGTTAAAAAAGGGTTGAATACAAAAAAAAATAACAGCCATTCATAGCTCAATGATTCGGGCAACCAATTTAGATCGTAATCGTAACCGAACAAGCGTGTCGAATCGATATCGAATGTTCAATGTTAAGGTCGCTTTTTACAAAACCTTCAGTAGCATTCACGTGCTATTGTTACGTTCCTTTATGCAAGAAACTGTCATTAATCTTATATTTTTATTTCCTATGACATATTTTATAAAGAAAAAGCTCTAAATTTAAATTTGGAAAAAAAATTAAAATTGGAAACTGAGGCTAGTATTTTTTGCTTTGTCATTGTAATATTTATTTGTACTCTTATTTCTATAAAGAAGTTGAAAGATATTAAATTACTTACGTAACATGCATAGACAAAAAATGTTGTAAACCAAAATAAATGAAATTAACGGAGATTTACATACATATATACTTAAAATAATGAAATAGATTTTAATGATCAAAAAACAAAACTGAAACTACTCTAAAATCCATCCAAAGCTAACTCCCGCTATAAGGAAATTATATTACAATAATATTATGCCTGTCTTTTTGTATGCCAAGGATTTTCATATTCCCACGTTCGCTATATAATGCCCTGTGACACTGACTAGCAATCGACAAGATAAGCACCTCAAATTATATACGTGATAATTATTTCTATTAGCGTGTGAATTTAACATTGTTATTGTAATTAATTTCCTAAAAAGATTATTTAGAAAAAACTTAACCTTATATTTTATGTATAGTGAAAAAACTGAAGAATATGAATAGTATGGGTCCTAAAAACGATCCCTGTGTTACACGACAGGCGAAGTATGTAAGATGTAATTAAGGTCACATAAGTTCAGTTGACCTTAATCATTCCAGTCGTTATTTAAATACAAATACACCACCTTAGGAGTTGTGTTGGGACCTAGACTAAGTGTTTATTGTCCGAAGATAAATGTTAGTGTCTTCAACTTAAGACATAGTGGACTATTAACTTCTAAAGATCTTAACTGAACAAAATATAGGGTTTCAAAGTTTAAGAGAAACTTATATCTATTTTAAACTGGAAACTTGAAATGAGCGTTCTGATATTTATAATACGTAGGTAAAATAAAATATAACGAGTATTATGTAAGCGAATATCGACTGCAATAATAATTTAATAAAAAATGTAATTTTTTTTTTATATTTAAAAAAAATATCTCCTATACTAGAAGGTATACGTATATTAATAAAGTTGCTGCAAGAGGAATCTTTTGGCTTAAAGATAATGAGCGTTAGAAACGAATGCTTTTTACTATTAATCTCTTGGAATGATTCTAAGGTTTACTGCTGTTTTATTGCATCGCTAATGTTGCTCTAACGTATCCTTTGTTTGCTCTAGAACTGTGCAATTTATACGACAGTTGAAATTTAATCGGTAGCGGTGAGCAATTTCTTCTTCGATTTAACAATTTTGGTCGGTAATCTTTTCAAATTAGCAATGAGTAAATCTAGTTTTCACAAAATTAGGATCAGGTCTTGAATTTTGACTAGGTATAATATGTAGCTAAAGAGAGCACGTCGAAGCAAAATTGGAGTTTAGAAAGATATTTGTATGCAGAATATAAGTCCGTGCTCCGTTCTCTTAATTTAAATAGGAAGCTAAAACAAATTTCCGTGTAAATTGAACACAATATCGGCAGTGGATTTCCAAACGAATGTTAGACTCAATTGAAGGAACTTGTTCTGAAAATTTTGCGCGAACGCTAAAATTTTCTAGAAAATCACCCCGCAAACCTCTGAATGCAAACTAGTGAAAAACTCCGAACGCTCCTCACGCCTCGAGACGTGAACGCCTTTGGTCAATTTAAACTTGCACTAACTGCAGAAGGTCTATGGAAATAGTTTTATCAAGATTGTATTATACCCAATTTTAATGAAGTCAAAGTGATATTTGATCTATATAAAAGATTTTTAACTACAATCATATATATATATATATAGCTTCAACTTAATAATCCATACGGTGGTAATAGTAATTGTTCAAAAACTTCAAAAGTGTAATGTTATACCTATATTTTTATTTTATTTAGGCTTATTTCCAAGTTATAAATATTCTTACCGTATCCCCCGTATCCTCCGTATCCACCATATCCGCTAAGACCGCTATAGCCAAGTCCACTGTAACCTAGTCCTCCATACCCAAGTCCACTGGAAAGACCACGTTTTTCGGTCTTCTTTGCTTCTTCAGCGCACACCGCTGCGACGGTTAAAGCGACTACGAACTATAAAAAATATAAAAACATAATTATAATTCAAAGTTGTTAAAATAAAACGATTAAGATTTATAAAGCGGTTTTGGTTACCATTAAATGATCCAGTTTCTTATGTATCATTAAAATGAATATTTTAAACGTAATTTGCAAGAAAATAGAGGAGATACTAAAAATATTTTATAAAACAATAATACTTGCTCATTAAACTACTAATGTAATAAAATGTAAAGAATATTCTTTTTTATAGGTTTTTTTATTATGTTTTTTAATATACTAGTTTTTGTCCGTGACTCTGTTAGCATATTATAGTGTACAATGCACATCGATAAAAATTAATCTATACATATGTTAGCCCTTTACTTTTTGAATAACAGCCAAATGTGTTGATAAACAAACTCAATCAAAAACTTTAATATTTATGAAATTATATATTAATTAACATATTATGTAAATTCTACGAAAACAATATCAAAAAATATATTATATAATATTGAAAAGCAATGTGTGTTGAGCATTGCTTCTGGGCAGGTAAATTTTTTTGCGAAAAGAATGTGTGTTAAATAGAATCTTCTCGGTGTAAAAGACCAAAAGACCAATATAATTAAATGGAAATTGCCTAAATAATGATGCCATATACATACATCAAGTATGAAAGGTAAATATTGATGAATTTTATATTAAAAGTAAATAAATTAAAGTTAACTGAATTTCGAAATAACTTAGGTCAGTGAGTCAGTCATGGGTAATTACGTATACTTATAAGTCGAATAGATATCGTAATATCCTACAAAGACAATGAAACTGGCGGATCTATTGATTAGCACGTTATTTGCTACAGATTGCACAATTTGTATAACAAAAGATCACTGTTATTGTGAATAATGTATCAGCTTCTACGTCTTGAGATAAGTTATTTTGAGAAAGAAATCAATATCTAAACGAATAACTAAATAGTCAACTCTCTAAGCTCTTTACTTTTAGGAATACAATATATATGTATATTTTAAATTCAAGATTTTCAGTTTCACTTTGAAATCCAAGTATTGGACTAAATGTACATATATCAAAGCAACTGTAACAAGGTTCTTTTACTTTCAGTAAAATTGTCGTTCTACGTCTTCTACCTGTTGCTAATATTAGCCCGAATAGATTCGCAAATTATTTAATTGCTAAGACAGGTGTGAAATTCTAAATCAATAACACTTCCATATATATGTTTCGTACAGATACTAAATCTTTACACAGCACATAATAAAAATAATTTTCATTTAGTTAAGTTAGTTTAGTACTATTGTAAATTCCATGGTTAAAATCGGTCTGATTGATATTATAGATCCAATGCAAAGTATCTGCTAAATCATATTAATGTAGTTTTTACAGCTATGATGAAACTTATTAAAAAATTTATATATTTTCTTAGAATATTTTATGATTATGATGTAAGCTACTAAGATTTTATTCTATTTTTATTTATCTTTTGTAGAAGGATTTCAAAAGAAACAAATCGAACTTAACATAGCTATTTCTATTAAGACGATATCTATGTAAATCTTATAGCTTTGAAAAGCGCTCAGTTTTCACAAAGTTGGGGGATGAAATGTTAATACTTATTACTATTTTCTCAATTGGTTACATCAAACAAGTCTAATTTATAAAAAATATAAATAAAAAATGTAAAAAAAATCCTTTTACAAACTTAGAATTAAATACGAATATTTCAAAAAAATATCATTTTAGCAAAAACTATATATGAATATATTTATATTAGCACTTATTGTTACTATTGTAAATAATTTTATTATAAATTAAATTTAGTAATTGTTTTATATATTTTTCTTACCAAGAATTTCATGTTGGAGATATCACACAAGGCAAGTGACTGATGCCCGATGAAGTTACAACGCGTTTATATATGCGCGTGCGCAGAGTGGATGGCGTGAATTGTTTACGTTTCCAAGGATAATGTCTGCGGAAACTTAGAAAGAGGGTTGTTATAGTATTATAATTTAAGTGTTTTTATTGTTCAAATATAACAAGTAATTCTATATTTATTCGATGTTTTTAAATTTGAATTCGATATTGATTGCAAAAATATAATTTTGTACGAATATAATGCATAATGAAATCGATCTTTCGGTAAAAACTAATATTCTTTGATTTTCATTTAAACTATTTACATATTAATAGAAACAATTATTTCCAAAAAAAAAAAATGTTCGTTTTTGACCTACTTAATGTTCAAGAGTTCTTATTAAAACAGTGATGATGAGTTTGTATGTAACTGGAGAGTTTTATTATTCTCCTCCTAAATCTATCTATCAATCATCTCACTATCCAATTTTTGTATTATTTGTCCAGATTTTACATGCTTAAAAAATTTACACCTATTAGACAGTTTGAAACGATTTTTTCATTTATTTGGTATATTATATGACCTAACATGGCTATAAAGTGCAAGCTACACATTAAATAATTTTTCTATGCATATATGATTGTATCCACTCAACTGTAGAGCAACTGAACTGATTTTAACGAAGCTCTCACTAGCGTAAAAAGGTATGGCTGATTTCAATTCTCGTTGAGTTAAAGGGTTTTTGTGACATAGAAATAATAAGAACGGCTTAAACGGCTTCAATGGATAGGAAAAACAAACATTTTTTTTAAATACGCGAGTCTCTACTCGTGCGAAAGCTAGTAATGTATCGCCATTATAATATATTTTTATGCCCAATTGCTTTATACAGAACTAGCAGTACCTGCGGCTTCGCCCGCGTTCAAACTTCTGATCGATATCAAACTTCACAGGATCATCCGCTAGGTTAATCTGAAGATTGCCTGAAAATTTCATCAAAATCGCTCCAGCCGTTTCAGAGTCCATAGGGAACATACATATATCGATTTCTATATACATATAATATATAGATAGGTTAAACATAAATAAGTTGGCCAGTTTTTAATTTTATTAATGTCATTCTAGTAAAAAGTATTTAATAGGTATGGCTCTATACAGTTTACTCTTTATACGGCATCGTCTATCTTTAAATAGATCTTTTTTATATATTTTCTTTTAACACTATTTAAAGAGTAATACGCTTTGAGAGCATTACGTCAAGATAACACCATGTTATTTGAACATGTAATGTAATTTACTTTAATGGAAATTCATTTTTTAGTCTATGTCAGACTGTTATAAGGGCTGTTATATTTTGTAGTATTTCATACCTTGTCTTTTCTAAATTATGAAAATAAATATTACCTATTTTCTTAAATTACTTATTTTAATCGCCGACAAAAAGATACCAGGGTAGTTATAAGTACATATATATGTACATTATAAATAAATAGTTCATAGCTATACTCCATGTTATAAATTAAAGTCCCCCGCCGCGTCTGTCCGTCTGAACGCAATAAACTCATACTACTGAACGGATTTTCATACGGTTTTCACCAATAGATTGACTGATTCATGAGGAAGGTTTATGTGTATAATTAATAAAGGTTTTGTGTAAATTGGCTGAAATATGACGATGATTGTTGAAGATGTCGAAAAAAAAACATGTCGACTGGGAGTTTTATTGGCGTGCGCCGCGTAAACTAATAATATATGAAAGCAATGTATTACAGAATTATACCTCTTAAAAAGATCTTCCTATTAAACTGTGGCAACGCTATGTGACCTAGGGACGACCCCCAGCGAAGTGAGGGTAAATTATAAGTAGTTTATGATTAAAATTATTTAAAAGCGCGCGACATTTCAAAAGAAATATGTTTAAACTATTGTTATTAAAGGTAAAGATCACTGTTTACATATGCGTACCTACTGTCAATGTTGTTGTGTTAATGTGCATTGCACTAAAAGACATAAATATTTAAATGTAAGTTTATATTTTATACATAAACATTTATTAAAGAAATTTATTTATATTTTTTGTATTTATTACTGTAATCTTAGACTTTAACATATATATATATATATATATATATATATATATAGTTGTTTAAGCATTCTAAATAAGCATTTATTACTTTTTAACTCACTCAAAAATCTAACAGTGAAATAATTATTTTTAAAGTGATTTAACATTTTTAGAATGAAAGCAGTTACTTCATAATGTTAGTAACGTCCAAGTAATAATAGCTTAAATAGAATAAATAAGTATATAAGCAATAGGCATCTGTAAATTATTTTCAAATCATCTATGATGATGATTTATGTATATGTAGTTGATTATATTATTATAATGAATCTTTAAAATAACCAGCTACCATCTATATATATATAATAAGAATTGCTCGTTTTAAGATATAAGATTCACGCTGAAATTCAAGTTTTAATTGATAAAGGGCATTTTAGTAACTTATTTTACCTTTTCGCCTCATAATAACGTTTCATTAAAAACACCTAATGGACGTACAAGCTCTAACACCCAAAATAATCGGCACAGGCAACGTATTAAGATAGATATAAACTATATACTCAACATTTAGTATATAGTTTAACCGCTCGTATTTATATATATCTCTTATAAAGGGCAAAATGTGAATCTTAAATTTATAACGGTTCTGTAGATTTTATCCTCACAGTATACTTCATTTTACTTTAAATATAATTTTCAAACCCTTTCAATAGATATACACGTTTGCCGTTTAGTATCAATACATAATAAAAGATCTTTTTTTTTCATATTCAGCAGCAAACCTATTCAGCCCTTTTACTCCCTAAGCACGAGCCTCCTTCGAATGGGCATGATCAGGCCATAGCCCACCATGTTGACCAAATGTGAGTTTGCGGACTTCACAAGTCTTTAGAAAACTCTTAGTTCTGCTCTCAGATAGGTAGGTTTCCCAACCAATTTGGGCCACGGCGGGCAATCTCAGCGCAGGGGATATTATAGTGAGTGTACGCGCAGACACAAGTGCACTCTGTATACCCGTCACTCTCAAACTCTGGTGGGATGACAATCAGATTTTACCTGTAGAAGATTAGGCGTAGGATCAACAACTTTACATGGGGTGAAACACTGCCAACTTTCCAACTCTGGGATGATGCTGAGAATTTCTTAACAGAAAAACTCAGTACCTGAATTTGACCCGTTCGGGACTCGAATCCAGGACCTCGAGATCTGCAGCGGTACATGCTAGTCACTAGACCATCTAGGCGTTATATGAAAATGTAAGAAGCGGGCTTAAACCCACTTCACTTAGTTTTCCAAGCAAGCAAGTCACCACTGGGCTACCATTACCCGTTTCTCTTACAATCAGTCTCTTATTAATTATCTTAACTATCTATTACCAAATCTCATGATACAAAAAACCTTTAGCTAATTTACAAAAACTAAAATTAAAGTAGCAGAAACTCAAGTTTTTTTGACCGACTTGAAAAATGAAAAGAAATCCAATTCGTCTATATTTTTTGGGTCTTTGCAAATTATGGATAGATATTCATAAACCTATTTTAAACCCATGGGGCTTATAATAGGTTTATGTATATCATCCTCATATAAATTACTACAAAAATACAAAACTAATTAATTTTAAATGATTTTAAGTTGATGTAGCTTGTTTGTTATTGTGTCGAATTTAGTAACCGTAAACCGATTGAGGCGTTAAGGCATCAAGAAGTAAAAAATAAATAAACCATCTTAATTACGTATTTATTTATACAATTACAATTAATATAAATATCATTCATTTAATTATTATTGAAATAACATTATATATATATTTAAAACTACCAAGAAACAAAAGGTTTTTGTTCAAATAATATATGAGTGAGGAAATCTCATATTAATTTAGCCTACTACATTAGATTCAATAACAAATGTAGTTTATTTGAGATGTTATTAGCCGATACACTTAGTATGGACATGTTTAAGACTTTGCGCAATAGATTATACGGTGTTATATAGCCATACATTTAGTTGAAGATATGGTTATTGTTTATAAAGTATGAATATAGTTTTAGCATTCATGTGAATTTGCGAAACCATGGGATGTTTTTAAGTCCAGTGGAGTAAAAATGTTTTTTTTTTGCAAAGATTGAAACTTAATCCTTGGAACCTTAAAAAGGCTTTTTAGGGTTCCAAGGGTGTGAAAATGAAACCTTTACATGATTAAATCTTAAGTATACATATATGAGGAATCCTTATTCAAGCGAATAAGACTTGCGCTTGACTTATTTTGAATATTTTCACATCACATTAAGTTCTCTAGAGAGATACTAACTACCTTTTTACAATTTACTTTTGAACTGCAAGTATAATATTAATTTCCAAAAATCTCTTATTGGTGAACTTTTAACCTAGACAGAAATGTTTAAAAAAAAGTCACTAAAGAAATCTATACATATAATAAAATTATTCTAATTGAGTCGAATCTGAACACTAAATATTTTTTGGAAAATCTTATTGAAATAGTCATTATTATCAATACAGGGGCGGTATCTATAGTTTTTAGAGAAAACCACTGGACAGATTTTGATGAAAGGTATGATGATAGCTGGTTATCCACGTCAACATATAGGATACTTTTTACTGTGGGAAAATATCTCATCTTTGAGAAACCTATACTAAACCTTAAAACGTAACTAGAGACGAACCCGAGCGGAGCGAGGAATAGTCGCTGTAGGTATATAATATCAATATTCAAACCTATTATATTAAATTAGTGTATCAATCAATAGTAACCTATTTAAGTAAAATTACTTCTTACAAAATGACTAAGCGCAGTAATTGTTTAAGTAGTTTAAATAAAAATAATAATTGTAATTGATTCTAGTTACATAAATATGCTAATGACACCGGAAAAATATTGTTTACTTATATTTTTAAATAAGTATATATAATAAGGTAT